CGGTGGCTCACGCCTATAATCCCAGCACTTTGGGAGGCCGAGGTGAGAGGATTGCCTGAGTCCATGGGTTTGAGACCAGCCTGGGCACCTTGGCAAGACCTCATCTCTATAATAAATCAAAAAATTAGCCAGGCGTGGTGGCGCGTGCCTGTAATTCCAACTACTTGGAAGGCTGACGTGGAAGGATCACTTGAGCCCAGCAGGTCGAGGCTGTGGTGGCCGTGAGCGTGCCGCTGCACTCCAGCCTGGGCAACAGAGTGAGACTCCAACTGAAAACAACAACAACAACAAAAAACCCAGGTATACTCACAACTAACCAACCACCGACTGACTGTCTGACTAATGAATGGACTCACTCACTGACTAGCCAACCGACTGACTAATAGACTGACTGATTGACACTGCCCCCGTTCCTATCTGAGCTGCCCCTCTCTCCCTGGGCTTGACTCCCAGCCCTCTCAGCCTCTTGCATTTGTTCCTTTTGTAACAATAACCTTTTCTCCTTCAGAATTGGTCTTCTGTTGGCTCACACCCATCAGCATAAAAACATACCTTAATATGACTCATCTTGAAAAAAAAAACAAACTTCCTTTCTTTTCTTGAAAAAAAAGTTCTGGCAGGTGGTGGCAGTCATGGGTGCACATGGGTGCAGAGGAACAAAGAGTGGTACAGGTGGGTTCATTGTATCAGTTTTAGGTAGGCTTCAAATTTTCCAGAGTAAAATGTTAAATAAACAACACTCCCGCTTCTCCACATCCGTTTCCTATCATCACTCCATTAATTTGCTAACCAGTTCATGCACCCGCTTTTTGCACAGCAAGATCTGTGCAGATGTTGTCTGTGTTCCCCTTTCCTTATCCCTAGTTTCCTGTGCAGCTTCCTTCTGGGCTCTTGGGCTCACCACTCCATGCCCCCTGCTCCAGGTCTCCAGAATGAGGTCTTGCTGAAGGCAGAGGCAGGTTCCTCTCTCGATGTACTTGATGCCCCAGCATCCTTTGGCCTGTACCTGGAGATACTTCCTCCTCCCAGCCTCTGCTGACACCACACTCAGCGGTGCCCCTCGAACACTGCGGCTGCTGTCCGAAGTCTCTCCTGAGCCCTTTCTCCCTGCCTCACAGCTTCATGTTCAGGCCCTTCTGCTCATCTGCTGTCCTCTCCTCTGTTTGTTTCATGCTCCAGCCAGCCTCCTGGGATTGAATACCGTCTCTGTGCTAATGATCTCCACATTTGTACCTCCATTCTGACCTCTCCTTACTTCCAAGTTTACGTATCCAACGGCCGTCTTTCCTTGGGCGCCTCCCAAACGACGCAGATTCGATATGTGAAACAGACCAGTTGATATTTCACCTTGAATTTGCTCCTCTCCAAGCCGTCCTTATCTCCATGAGTGAAACCAGCATGTCTTAGGAAGAATCTACACGTGCTCGTTGTTCCTTTTCCCCATGCTTCCCATCTGTCGGCAAGGCCTATCAGTTATCCCTAAAGTGTGCCCCCAGTGAGTCCAGTGACTCCTCGATATCTCTACAGCTCCAGCTCCAGTTACACACCCAAGCCACCACGGTCTTTCCTGGCCTGTGCCAGTGGTCTCCTAGGTGGTCCTTATGTTTCTGATCACGAGTGCCCGTGGTGCACAGCCGTCACGCCAGCCAGCGGAGCTTTGAGAGGCAAGCCAGACCTTGACGTTGGCCTGCGTGATCCTCCAGTGGCTTCCCAACCATAGCTGGAATAAATGTCAGCCCCACAGCTTGGCTGACACTGTCCAAAGTGACCCGGTCCCTCCCCCATCTCCTTTTTATTCCCTGTTCTCCAGTCACATCGGCTTTCTCTTCAATCTCAGAACATGCCAAGTTCCTTTTCATCCCAGGACCTTGAACTTGACTGATTTTCTTCTGTTTGTAAAATTTCCCCAAGTTTGTCACACGGCTGCTTCTTTATCAATGTCCAGGAACCAGTCACCTCTGCAGAAAGGCCTTGTCTGGTCATTTTAATCCCTCCCGTCCCAGCCAGCTTGACCGCATCAATTTGCTTTGTCTCTTGCTAGTGTCTGAATGTGTGAGTCTCCACAAAATTCAGATGGTGATGGTATCAGGAGATGGCGCCTTTGGGAGGTGATGCAGTCATGAGAGAAAAGTCCTCATAATAATAGCAATGGGATTAGTACCCTCATTAAAAGAGGAATCCTTTTGCGGTTCATAAGCATGATGATGAGGTTTTCATGCTATCGTGTGAGATGTGTCTCCTTCAAACCTTGCTATAATGATTACAGTGTCAGCACATGACCTGTCTGGTGTCATAATAATAATAAAAAGGCCCAAAGGAACTTGATCTTCGCTTCTACCAAGTGAAGACGCAGTGAGAAGGGATCATAGAAACCAGGAGCAGGCCTGCACCAGACACAGAAGCAGCCAGCATCTTGACCTTGGCTTTCCCAGCCTTCAGAACTGTGAGAAATAAATTTCTGTTCTTTACAAGCCGCCCATTCTATAGTATTTTGTTATAGCAGGGTGAATGGACTAGGATATATCTCTCTCACGGAAGTTGTCCCTACCTACATTTTATTTTAGTTTTGGAGACAAGGTCTCACTCTGTTACCCAGGCTGGAGTATAGTGGCATGATCCTGGCTCACCACAGCCTCGGCCTCCTGGGCTCAAGCAATCCTCCTACCTCAGCCTCCTGAGTTGCTGGGACTACAGGCGTGTGCCACCATGCCTGGTTATTTTGTATTTTTTGTAAAAAATGGGGTCTAGGTATGTTGCCCAAGCTGATCTCAAACTCCTGGCCTGAAGAAATCCTCCTGCCTCAGCCTCCCAAAGTGTTGGGATTATAGGCATAAACCACTAAATTAAAAAAAATAAAGAATGCATATTACATGATTAGTGTCTGTCTCTTCACCCTAAATATAAGCTGTTTGAGAAAAAGGACTTTGCTACACAGTCACTGACGAATTCCCAGTGCCTGGGATATAGTGAGTGTCCGTTGACCTAGGTGTGTATAATGCTGTGTAAGGTTCCCACTGGATACATAAAAATGCATGTGGTCTCTGTCTTTA